GCGCTGCACACACATGCAGTCTTATTAGTGTAGGGGGAGGATGCTGCCGCTGATAGGGACAGCTTAGGAAAGAATTCTGCAAACTAGTACATTAGTGGGGTGCACTTCATATCTGAGAGTCAAATAGAAGCTTCAAATACCCCAGTTACATCAGAGTTTTAAAAAGTAAAAAATTTTTGGTGTTAAATAGTACATTAGTGGGGTGCACTTCATATCTGAGAGTCAAATAGAATCGTCAAATACTGCTGTCACATTGCAGTTTTAAAACTTAAAATTATTAGTGGGGTGCACTTCCTATCTGAGAGTCAAATCGAAGAGTCTAATAGTGTGCTTACAGCTCAGTGGTAAACTTTCTTATTTTCTGGATGTTAATCTGCTAAATAGTACATTTTGGGACCTGCTCTTCATATGTGAGAGTCAAATAGAAGCGTCAAATAGTGCGCTTACTGCGCAGTTGTAAACATTCTACTTGTTTTGCTGCTAATCTGCTGCTTACATTGGAGTTTTAAAAAGTAACTTGTTTTGGGTGCTAAATAGTATATTTGGGGTGTTCACTTCATATCTGAGAGTCAAATCGAAGCGTAACTTTGATTCGAATTTACTACATCGGTCACTTGAAATATTGTTTCACACCTACAACACTTGTTACACAGATCTAAGTGATAGAAAACAGATTGATATTGTCTACACTAGAAACTACCAGATAAGCTGCTATATTTAAACCAGTTATCAATAGGTAAGAGGTACTTCAACAATATTGTAATTCTGGGGCAATACCCTCACAAGTCAAACGGAGAGGTCAGTTTATAGGGAAAACTGTTGCCTGGATACAATTCTAAAACAATTTCCATATGTCCTTTGCAGACATTACATGCTGGAAAAACACAGGTGCCAACTGCTGTGGCTTTCTTTAGTGTGCATACCGGCAAGGAGGGCAGGGTTGAGGAGTGGGTGGAAGATTATGTGGAGGATGATGAGGTCCTAGACCCACATGGAATCAAGGTCATGCAAGTGACGTGTGCAGTTTGGAGGAAGAGGTGCTGGTCGCACAGAGGAACCAGCACAGCGTAAGAGGGAGCAGGGTACAAAAGCAGAGCGGCTGTCCCCTAGCGCCCGTCGGCGTGTATTAGCTCGAGAATAACCAGTTATCCAAGTAATACATGTAGTGATCAAAGGATCCATAATAGAGTTCAGCGAACCCGAACTGCAAAGTTCGGGTTCGTACCAGATTTAACGATCCATTCGTAGTTTCACAGTGAGGTGGGCAGTCCGTTGACCAGGACCCAGACACTGTCTGGGCGACGGTCGGACGACCGGGACCCGGTATGCCTGATGTTGAAGTTAGGAGTCACAGTATGGAATGGATTAGCTGGGTCTGGTGCAGGGTAACCACACGTGCGGCCACATACCAGGAACCTGATGCAGCTTCAGTAAAAAGAGAACTGGATACCAGAAGCCATCACCAGACTGATCCGCAACTTGGAACAGGACGTGAGATTCTCTGTAGCGGCTGTGCGCGCTTTTGGCGTGTTCACCCTGCTGCTGCTCGCCTGTCTGCGCTGCAGCGTAACTTCGGCCTTCCCACTCACTGCCTCATGAGACTGTGCGAGCAGCAGCAGGCGATAGTGGAGTTTCAGCTGCAGCATGCATGGGTCAGTGGCTCTGCACCAGACTTCCCTCCAATTGATCAGAGTTAACCCCTTCAGGACGGGTGACGGACGAGGTCCGTCACAGAGGGGAGACCCTTAACGACGGGTGACGGTATTACAGGCATACCGGGAGCACCCGGTCAGGCTGCCCAGCACATGTGCTCGCTCTGACCGCAAGTCGGAGCGAGCACATGTGCTCTGTATACTCACCTACCGGCTCCCTGCACTTCCGGGTTCTGTGTGAAGTGCAGGGAGCCGGATCAGTGATGATCCTGCCCCCTGCTGGAAAAAAAAATAAAGTTAATTTAAAGTGTCCCCCCCCCTTACCCATTTTAATAAAAAATTAACCCATTCCCTGCCAATTGATCACTGACTACAGTGATCAATTGGCAGGGATTACATTTTACTATGATCTGATTTTTTTTTTTAACCCCTGAGGGTTAATTCTTTTTTTTTTTAACCCTCAGGGGTTAAATTAATTAAATTAATTAATTAAATTATTTTAAATTATATATTTAGATAGCTGGGGTGGGTGGAAGTTAGTGGGGAATTGGGGGATTTGGCGTTAGGCTAACTAGGGGTTAACGTTAAAAAAAAGTTTTAAAAGAAACTTTAAAAAGTTAAAAATTAAGCTTAAAAAAATGTTTTAATAACATTTAAGTAAAAAAAACAAAAAAAAACACTTTACCTAGTCCAAATAAAAATTAACCCCTTCCCTGCCAGTCGATCACTGCCTACAGCGATCAAATAGAGATCACAGTATTATACTGTGATCTAATTTTTTTTAACCCCTGAGGATTAACTTTTATTTATTTTTTTTAACCCTCAGGGGTTCAATTTATTTAATTAATTAATTTAAATATTTTATAACTATATATTTTGCTAGCTGGGAGTTATGGGAAAATGGGGAATTTACTGTTAGTGCTGCGTACTGCTAGTTAGGGGTTAACGGTAAAAAAAAAAAGCTTAGAAAAATGTTAAATCTGTAAAAAAAGTTTTAAGAAAGGTTAGGAAAGTTTAAAAAAAAATTGTAAGCAAAACAAAAGTTTCAAAACTAGTTTTTAAAAGTAAAAAAGTTATAAAAAGTAAAAAAATACATTTTAAAAACGCTCATTACCACTACACCTGGAACAAACTAGAGAAAAAATTATCCCATGCCAAGGTTCAAAATATGCCTTTTGAATTACCCCAGGGTGTATTCTTTAATAAATAGTATGTGTTTGTGGGGAAGTTTCAATAACCAACCGTCTAAACTACTCCAAATTGGAACATGGACACAGCGTAAAACTTCAAAGTTAGAAAAAAACTGAATGGCTGCGTCTCAAATGCGCCCCTTCAACATCCACATATACCTGGCAAAGGTACATACGGGGGTATTGCTGTACTCAGCCGACATAGCTGAGCAACATATGAAGTATTATACAGTCATAGTACACATAAGGTTTGCAAAATATGCTGCGCAAACTCACTTTGTATGTCAAAAAGGCAGAAAAAATGCTTATTACCACTACACTTGGTACAAGCTAGCGGAAAAATGATCCCACGCTAAGGTTCAAAATATGCCTTTTGAAATACCCTGGGATGTCTTCTTTAAGAAATGGTATGGCTTTATGGGGAATTTGGATTATATAGCCTGGTAAAATACTCTAAAATGGGACATAGGCACAGCATAAAAATTCAAAGTTTGAAAAAAACTGGAATGGCTGTGTCCCAAATGTGCCCCTCCGATGTCCACACATACCTGGCAAAGGTACATACGGGGGTATTGCTGTACTCAGCCGACATAGCTGAGCAACATATGAAGTATTATACAGTCGTAGCACACATAAGGTTTGCAAAATATACTGTGCAAACTCACTTTGTATGTCAAAAAGGCAGAAAAAACGCTTATTACCACTACATCTGGTACAAGCTAGCGGAAAAATGATCCCACGCTAAGGTTCAAACTATACCTTTTGAAACACCCTGGGGTGTCTACTTTAAGAAATGGTAGGCCTTTGTGGGGTAGTTTGAATTTAAAACCTGCGAAGATGCTTGGAAATTGCACATAGGCACAGCGTCAAAATTCAAAGTTTGGTAAAAACGGATATGGCTTGGTCTCCTATATGGCACTGTAGCTTCACAAAATAGTGACAAAGACATTCATTGGGGGTGTATTTTTACTCAAAAGACTTAGCTGAGCATAATTTGGGAGGTTTGAACTTAGTGGCACATATGAAATATACAAAACGCCCAGCAAAAATGCAATCCGTATGTAAAAAATGCACAAAATAATTTTTTTACCACATACTTTGGCATATATTGGTGAAAAAATGGGGGTATGTTAAGGCACAATATGCACCTTATGAGATACCCTGGAGTGTCTACTTTTACAAATGGTAGGCCTTTGTGGGGTTTTTTTGAACAGTCAAACTGTTATAATACCCCAAATGGAAGCTAAGGCTCATTAAATCCATCTCTCAAAATTCTACTGTGAATACTGTAAAGGACAGGTCTCCTATATGGCACTGTAGCTTCACGAAATAGTGCCAAAGACATTCATATGGGGTGTCATTTTACTCAGCAGATGTAACTGAACACAAAATAAAACTTTGTACAGGAATAGCACACACCAACTTTACAAAATATACACGAGAATTTCTCTGTTATAAGTTTGTGTGCCAAAAACCAAAAAGAACACAATTTTACTCCAATATTTAGCAGAGGTTGGCGGTGAAATGGCTACGTAGAAAGTGTCAAAACAACCTTAGGTAAATAGCCCGTGATGTCTACTTTATATAAATATATACTTTTGTGTGGCAATTTTGTTTTCTTTTATGGCTATTAAGCTTACAAGACAAACATACCAAATTCTAAAATCGCTCCACATTAAAAGTTTATTTTACTCCTTGTGCTTTGTGACCTGTAACTACCAAAAAAAACTTAAAATCCCAGACACATTATATATTCTGTAAATCAGAACAAATAAATAAATTTATTTTTAATTACTTTCCTTAACCTGCACTAATTATGCACACATTATTATTGCAAAAACTGTAAAAAAAAACAATATTTTTCATTTTTTTTGCATTTTTCTGTATTTTTTTTATAATAAGTAAGCATTTATATATATATATGTTATATCAAATTAAAGCCCTTTCTGTCCTTTAAAAAACAGTATATAATATGTGTCGGTGCAATAAATGAGAGAGATGCAAATTGCAGTTGAACGCAAACAGCAAGAAAATGCAAAAATTGCTTGTGTCATTAAGCGTAAGTCAAGCTTCTGAAGCTGTGTCCTTAAGGGGTTAAAGGATTTCAAGTGGACTTGTTGATAAATAACAATACAGAGTCCTGTATTGTTATTTATCGTCACTACCTTCCTGCGTCGGGAGTGGGGCATTTGCGCGCCTGCTGCCTTCCTTGCATGTGGTAGCCGTTTCTCAGGGTCCCTGTACAGAATGGAACCCTGATTCCCCGTTACCCGTGGTCACCATGGTAGGCGCAGAAACTGGCATCGAAAGTTGATATGGATGACATCCGCATGCAAAGTCGCCGCCACGGGGATGTGCGATTGGCCTGAGGTTCTCTAGAGTCAACAAAGTGCCTGCCCAACTATAATGTCAACAGCTACTCTACGGAACAGAGTTGTCTTTTTTTTATATGTCCCAATATTTTGGGGGCTACCCCAATTAAAATATATATATATATATATATATATATATATATATATAATCTATATATAAAAAACAGTGTTGGCTACCTCATCCTCCTCCTCCATCACTGCTTCCAACTACACCGCCACGGTCACCGCCTCCTCAACCTATGGGTCACTTAGCCTAAACTATGTACACATTAGCAGAGGCTTGTGAAGGCCTTTTCTCCATGCATCAGGAGTTGAGCTCAGTTTGAACAATGAAAGAGAATACCCTGCACTCCAACCCTCTCTCAAATGGATAATTCTGTTGATCCTCCTGACAGCCATGCTTTAGATTTTGATTTATGTTCTTCCAAAGCTAAAATCAAAGATTCCATCTAGTGCTATTTTATGGTTCAGCTGTATCTTACATTTTTAGGTATTTTATGTTATTTTAAGTGATTTGCCTATCCACATTTGTTTGCAGGGCACTTGTTGGGCTCTCTAGCTCTTTCCAGGAGGTTTTTAGAGGCATTTGTGTGGCCAAAAGTTCGGGTCCCCATTGACTTCAATGGGGTACGGGGTCAAGTTCGAGCCCGAACCCGGACTTTTTTCAAAGTTCGGCCGAACCCGAAGATCCAGGTGTCCGCTCAACCCTAATTATATACACTGATCAGCCACAACATTAAAACCACCTGCCTAATATTGTGTAGATCCCCTCAGGCTGACAAAATAGCTCTGATACATCAAGGTGTGGAGTCCACAAGACCTCTGAATGTGTCCTGTGTCCAAGACATTAGCAACAAGTCATTTAAGTCCTGCTAGTTGAGAGGTGGGGACTCAATGGATCAGATTTGTTGGTCTAGCACATCCCAAAGATGCACAGTCTCATTGATATTTGGGAATTTGGAGGTCAAGGCAACTCCTTGAACTCCTTGTCATGTTCCTCAAAGCATTCTTGAACAATTGGTGTAGTGTGGCATGGTGCATTAGCCTGCTTAAAGAGGCCACTATCAATCAGGGAACACTTATTATTATCGCCAATAATATAGCGCCAACAGATTCCGTAGCGCTTCACAATATCGTAAGAGGGGGGATTCAAATATAAATAGGACAATTACAAGAAAATTTACAGGAACGACAGGTTGAAGACCACCCTGCTCAAACGAGCTTACAGTCTATTTCCATGAAGGGGTGTACGTGGGTCTGCAACAATCTCTAGGTAGGTAGCAGGTGTCAAAGTAATATTTGCATGAATGTCAGGACTAAAGGTTTCCCAGCAGAACATTGTCCAGTGCATAATATTGCCTCCACTGGCGTTGCCTTATTCCCACAGTGCATTCTGCTGCCATCTCTTCCACAGGTAAATGGCGCACCGACACCCTGCCATCTAACTGATCTAAAATAAAATGTGATTCATCAGACCAGACAACCTTTTTCCATTGCTCCATAGTCCAGCTCTGTACTCATGTCTCCACTGAATACACTTTCGGAAAGGTTGACAGGGGCCATGATGGGCACTCTGACTGGTCTGCAGCAAACTGCGATGCACTATGGGTTCTCACATCTTTCTATCATGGCCAGCATTAAGATTTTCAGCAATTTGAGCTACAGTAGCTTTTCTGAGTGATCGGATTAGGCATACTAGCCTTCACTCCTCAATCAAGTGAACCTTGGGTGCCTATGACCCAGATGTCAATTCACCGGCTTACTTCCTTGCACCACTTTTGGTAGGTATTATTCATTACATACCAGGAACATGCCACAAGGAAAAGGCCTTATGCATGTCTGAGTTTCTGCAAGTCTGAGTTTTAAAAGACCACTTCTAGCAAACCTTTACAGTGCTCAGATCACCTACAGCTGGAAGGAAAAGGCCTTATGCATGTCTGAGTTTCTGCAAGGTAGACTATGGAGGAAACTATCTACCCTTAATACTGGACACTATAATTGTATTGGATTTTAACCACTTGCATATTTTTAAACTATGTATCTCTAACCAACATTTCTTTGTCATTGTATCTTAACTGGATGTGCTTGTTCTTTAATATATATAAGTCCTTATTGAGTGCTCCATTTCATCGCTTGATATATATATATATATATATATATATATATATATATATGTGTATGTATATTTGTATGATTTGTATGTTAGGTGCTCATGATAGTACAGAGTGAAATACCATAATTAAATATAGGAGAGTAAAAATGGCAAGTCGGTTGTGGTGTGCCGGAACCGACGATGTGGTAGGCCTGAGAAAGAAGAGGGCCTACCGAGGAAAAAGAAATAAAAAGGAAATAAATGTTAAAATGTGGTGTGGTGGGAGGGTCATTCAACGCTGACCTCCAACGGTAAGGAGCAAGGTAAGGGGTGTGCCTTAAGTAGGCTTGGAGTGGATACCAAGCACCTCCCACAAATCCAGACAAAATTGCCTTAATACTTGTGTTAGGTGCTCATGATAGTACAGAGTGAAATACCATAATTAAATGTAGGATAGTAAAAAGGGAAAGTCGGTTGTGGTGTGCCGGAACCGACGATGAGGTAGGCCTGAGAAAGAAGAGGGCAAAAATTAAGTAATCAAATTTATTACAGACAACCAATACAGATACATATATCAACCAGACATGTTTTTGAAAACATCCCTTAATTCTTGTACTGGGTTCGGTATGTATCGTGAGTAAGCGGATGACTTCCAGCGCCCCAGTGTTTTTATAACATGAACTCAAATGTTGACACATGAGGCTGTGGACACTGCTCCTATGAGGAAGGAGTGCCCTGAGTAGTTAGCTGCTTTGAGGCCCAGTTGAGTGAGCAAAGACCTGACGAAGGTTGTAGTGGTGAGTACCGAACTTTGTAATAGTAGTAATGGTTGTGATGGTATTGAATTATGATGCTGTAGGTGTGCATCCAGAACCTTGACGGGGCACCACTTGTTGTGCGTGGGGTAGTATGGAATGTTTACTGGTATGTGCTGGCTGGTTTTGGAATGAGGTAGCGTCAGGATGAAATGATCCATGTGTTTTATTAAGTGGGAATAGAGGAGAATAAGAGCAGATTGTGTTATGTTGGTTGTAGTAAACTCTCTAGGTCTTAGGAATCCATAGAAAGCTATGTATATTGCTGCTTTTATGACATAATTTGTATTGGTGTCAAAAGGTTTTAAATCAAGCAGGTTAGATAATGCCTTGAAAATATGGTTATCTATGGGTAGCCTCTGTGATGTACGTGTGGGTTCAGATTTCTGAATGCCTCTGAGTATGGTCTTGATCTGGTGAGAGGCCATAAAACTAGTGTTGTTAGGTTGTAAAATTAGTATATGGTGTTGAATGCCTGTGAGATAAAGTTTGATGGTGTTATATGACATTTTAAGTTTAAGGTGGCAAAAAGAAGCAAAACCCCAAAAAGATGTCATAACAAATGGTTGCATGATGTTATGTTCCAAACTGAATCTTTTGAATAGTGTAAAAGCCCTGTCGTATGTCTTGTGTGTATTTTTTGACAGTGCCAATTGGGACAGTTTCCTGCTATGATGCATGATGATGTCTAGTCCAGTATTAGTTGTTGAAATGTTGGAGTGGTAGTGGCTGTGAGCGCCGCTGACGGGAGTGCTTGATGAAATGCCTGAAATTTAAAACGAGACAAACTGTCAGCAGCTGTGTTACATATACCTGGAACATGGAAACAATGTAGAAAGAAATTATGACAAGCTGCCAACCACGTGAGTTTCCTCAGAAATCTCATGATCGTAAGGGATTTGGAGCGTCCTTTGTTGATGATGTGACAGGTTGCCTGGTTGTCTGAGTAACAACGAACTGGCATATTTGCCCATAAATGACCCCATGCTACGGCAGCCACCACGATGGGATAGATCTCAAAGAGAGCTGAGGTAGTGGAAAAACCTTCCAAAACTGCTGTAGGCCAGCTGCCCCCAAAGCCATTCGTTCACAAAAATTGCTGCAAAACCTGTGGTAGATGCCGCATCTGATCAAAAAGTAGGTGATGAGTCAGTCAATTGAGGGAGGAACATACTTTTACCATTCCAAGTAGTTAAAAATTCCTTCCACATGCGTAGGTCTGCCGTAGCTTGGTTATCTAAGGACAACCTGTGTGGGTCGTGTAGGAAGCGTGGAAAAAGATACAAGAGTCGTGATATGAAGGAGCGGCCTTTAGGTATGATACGCATGGCAAAATTTAGTGACCCCAGTAGAGACTGTAGCTCTTTGCGGTTGCAAGTACCGAGCTGAAGGTAGCGGTTGATGTAGGTAAGAATGTTCTCTATCTTGTCGTGTGGTAGGCTTGCTTGCATTGTGGTTGAGTCTAATTGAGTACCCAGGAAAGCGATAATCGTGTCTGGCCCCTCCGTTTTCTTAGGGGAGATTGGTACACCTAGTTCCTCGAATAGTTTGGTGGTAGCTTTGAGGCTACTAGGAGGGGAAGTATTCTCCTCGACCAGTAAGAAGTCATCCAGGTAATGTAATACCGTAGGGCATCTGACTATGTTCAATAGTAACCAGCACAATGCTTCGGCAAATGTGTCGAAAATAGCTGGGCTACTATTGGACCCAAAAGTTAAACGGGAGAAAAAATAGTAGTGCCCGGCCCACTTGATTCCATGTAGGTGCCACAGTGTGGGGTGGATTGGTAGCAATTTAAAGGCATTAGTAATATCGGTCTTACTAAGCCAGGCTCCGACCCCTGCTTGTATGATCGCTGTAATGGCGTGATCTATGGTGGTGTATTGCAGGGAGAATTCCTCGGAGGGTATGAGGGAATTAAGATGATGAGTCTCTATTTAAGGGAAGATTTCCCTGTGACAATACAAATATGGTTAGTACGCCATTCTTTGAATGGAGGAGCTTTAAAAGGCCCCAATACGAAACCCTCAGCAATTTCTAGGGCTATGAGAGTGTCAACAGCTGTGGGATTATGTTGTGCGGATTGTAGATTGGGGCATTCCAGAGTCCCGGATGGTATGTGTAGAATACCCGTGTGGAAGCCTTCTGTTAAACCAGAGATAAGAAAGTCCATCAAGTTTTTGTACGGGTGATGTGACATAAATGCAGTAAATACCGGCATATTAATGGACGTCAGGTAAGGCTTAGAATACATTTTATTTGGACACATGGTTTTTGCATGTGCCCTAAAACATTTTAAACAGATATGCAATAATTTGCAACCGCTATAATTACAAGACCCAACATTGAAATTATTACAAATCTGGGACTTGCCCAGTAACTTGATCGGGCGTCCCAGTTTGTCTCTGGTCAATTTTTCTGGAAGACCAGAGGAACTAGCTCCTTGTGTGGAGGCATGTTCGTCAGCCGTGTTGGGACAGAAATTTGTCGTATGGACTATAGAGGAGCAGTATGCACAAGCCGGTGTTCTTAGACCTGCAAAGGGTCTACAAAATATGACGGTATCTATCCTTCCCCAGTTAGATCTTGTTCCATACTAAGAGAACGCTCCAGACACTTTTGCAGAAAAAGACCTATGGTAGTCATAAAAGGCTAAACCACCATATTTGTTGCCCAGGTCTACAAGCTTGTGCATATAAAGATCAAACTTCTCTCTTCTATTGGGATAGACCGCACAGATGACATCAACACCCTCATAAGCACACTGTCCCATCAACCCAAACACCTGTTTCACACTTTTGATGCTCTTCTTCGCCCTGTGACCTTGTCTGCCACAAACTTTGCATCTCATTTCACTGAGAAGATCTATACAATCAGGAGAGAGATCTCTAATCTCTCTCCTATCCCTATCAATATATCACCCAACCCCACTCCTCCTGCCATCCTATGCTCATTTGCACCTGCTACAGCACAGGAGGTTTCTGCTCTGCTCCTGTCCTCCCGCCCCACCACCTGCTCCCTCAATCCTTTTCCATCGCATGTCATCCGCACTTTGTCTCCCTCTCTTGCTCTTCCTCTCGCTAACATTTTCAATCTCTCCCTTTCCTCTGGCACATTTCCCTCACCCTTCAAACATGCAACCGTAACCCCAATTCTGAAAAAGCCCAACCTTGATCCCAACTCCCCATCCAACTACTGCCCTATCTCGCTACTGCCATTTGCCTCCAAGATCCTCGAGAGAGTTTTGTACGCCAGATTGACAGACTTTCTCGAATTCAACTCTCTGCTTGACCCCCTTCAATCTGGATTCCGCGCTGGCCACTCTGTCGAAACTGCTGTCACCAAAGTATCCAACAATTTAATTGCTGCTAAATCTCACGGCCAATACTCTATCCTAATCCTCCTTGATCTTTCTGCCGCCTTTGACACTATTGATCATTAACAGCTTCTTCACATTCTTCGTAACTTTAGTCTACGGGATACTGCTCTCTCCTGGTGCTCCTCCTTCCTCTCCCAGCGCTCTTTCAGTGTTTCTTTCTCTGGCTCTGACTCTTCTCCCCAACCCCTCTCTGTCGGCGTTCCCCATGGTTCTGTCCTCGGCCCCCTACTGTTCTCTATCTATACTGCCTCCCTTGGTAAACTCATCAGCTCCTTTGACTTCAAATATCATTTATTTGCAGATGACACGCAAATCTACCTGTCCTCCCCTGATCTCTCTCCGCCCACCTTGACTCATGTTTCTGACTGCCTCTCTGCTATTTCCAACTGGATGGCTGCTTACTTCCTTAAACTCAACCTGTCCAAAACAGAACTTCTAGTTTTTCCTCCCTCAAGTGCTGCTACTCCTGTGTCGGTCTCCATCCAAGTCAACGGGGCTACTATCACCTTTACCTCACAGGCTTGCTGCCTAGGGGTTCTTTTTGATTCTGATCTCTCTTTTACTCCCCATGTCCAATCGATAGCCAAATCCTGTCGCTTCCAACTCAAGAACATAGCGCGCATCCGCCCATATCCAACGCCGGACGCGGCTAAGGTACTGGTTCATGCTGTTGTTTTCTCTCACCTTGACTACTGCAATCCCCTTCTCACCAGTCTTACATGTTCCCAACTTGCACCGATGCACTCTATAATGAATGCGGCTGCGAGGCTTATTTTCCTGTCCGGTCGCACCTCCCACGCCTCCACGCTCTGTCAGTCCCTGCATTGGCTTCCAGTTAGATATAGGGCCCAATTCTGGTGCTTGCTTACAAATCCCTACATAATGTTGCTCCAACATACCTATCCTCCCTCATACAAGTATGTCCCGTCGAGACCCCTGTGCTCAGACCAAGACCTAAGCCTATCCTCTGCCCAGATCCCCACCTCTGATGCTCGCCTTCAAGACTTCTCCAGGGCTGCACCTATTCTGTGGAACTACCTTCCCTCCTCAATCAGACTTTCCCCCAGCCTCCACTCCTTCAAAAAATCTTTGAAAACTCACTTCTTCATTAAAGCGTATCAATTAAACAGGTTTCTCATCCCCCACCCCATGACTCCTTTCCTGCAACTGTCAAAAATGACTTACCAAGCACTCAATAAACCCTTCTCTAACAAACTATGTAATTACCCTACTTTAACCCTTTGTGTCACTATACCCCACTCCCTCTAGCATGTAAGCTCTTCGAGCAGGACCCTCATCCCCCTCTGTTCCTTTACGTCCAGTGGTCTGATCTCAATTATGTGTCTGTTAGTCCTCCCATTGTACAGCGCTACGGAATTTGTTGGCGCTATACAAATAATAATATAATAATAATAATTTGCGGTTTTGAAGATGCTCTGACCCAGTTGTCTAACCATCACTTTGGCCTTTGTCAAATTCACTCAGATATTTTCCCTTGCCCATTTTTCCTGCTTCCAACACATGAAATTAAAGAACTGACTGTTTTCTTGCTGCCTAATTTGCCATTGTAACAATGTAATCAATGTTATGGACTTCACTTGTTAGTGGTTGTCTGCTATCACTTAAATGGTTTAGTTTTGACACTGCATTTTTTTGAATTGCGTTTATCACATTAATTTTGCATTATATATAGTCACAATGCTCTTACAACAGATTATTTAAATACACTTTTAGCTTATTTGGCCTCCCACACTGGAATTAGTATAGGACCGAACGATATTGGGGTACTGTGAAGTTAGTGCCTATAGTGGCGGTCAGTGTGACAGCCACAAGAAGCATTTAAAACTGCAGAACAGCAATATCTTCAGTTACACGGTTAAACCTAGGGGGCATCGTATCCAGTCCACTTCATTAAATTAAGTTGTCTGGGTGCCTATAGAGTACTTTTAATGTTGTGTTGAGCATACATATAGGATATTCAAAAAGCCCTTATAAGATGTATGTATGCACTTACAGAAACTCTTAGATTACAGTGAAACAAATACATTGCACACATTTTAGGTTTTATTTTGTATCAGAAGTTGTACAATTGCTTCCTTCCTTAACCCCTTCACTACCAAACAGTTTTCAAAAGAAAACACCTCCAGAATCCAAGTAATTTGGATGTCTTAGAAAGAATCGTTTGAGTGTACTTTTTGTTTTAGTATGCATAGATAGCACATTATTAAATGGAAACAAAAACAAAAATTTTGGTTGTTCAGAACAACTTTTACATTTTTTTTTTCAAATAATCACATTGCAGACAAGGAAACAGTGTTGTAAATAAATATATTTGTATTGTATAATTATAATATATGTTACCACATTGCAGTGATGCTGCCCATACCATATCACCCTCATTGCAGCCATGTTGCTTCTTTGGATAGACACATACTGATACATGTATACACATATATACAAACTAATACACAGACACACGCTTATCCGCATATATATACTCTACCTTTAAGACCTTCTGGGTCGAAACGATCACTTTGAATCTACATAAAATGTAATGAAAAATCCTCTGGAGTTCTCTCTTCATCGTCGTGTGTGTATATATATATATATACACACACACACACACACGACGATGAAGAGAGAACTCCAGAGGATTTTTCATTACATTTTATGTAGATTCAAAGTGATCGTTTCGACCCAGAAGGTCTTAAAGGTAGAGTGCCTGATTTCTATATATATATTTTATACACACATATACACACAAACACACACCTGCCAGAAAGACACACCGATCATCACCGCTATATAAAAACTCACATTCTTAGACACAAAATGTCAAAGACATATAAACACTCACACAGATAGAAAAAAAAAATCAAAACTGTCAGACTCATACACACATGCTGACAGACACGCTGTACACACATATAAACATACACACGCTGTCACATACATACACACACAAATATACAGGCTGGCATTGATACACACACTACACCTGATTGTAATGCATTTTTGTTTGCCCAATATATTATTATTTTTTATAAAGCGCCAACAAAATCCACAGTGTTGAAGAAAAGGTGGACTAACAAACAAGTATTTGTAGCAAGACGAGTAGAAAGCACAGGAACAGAGGGTGTTGAAATACCTGTTTAAACGAGATTACATTCTACAGGAAGTGGGGTAAAGTGGCACAAGAGGTAAGGTTAGGATGTATTTCATGCATGGGAAAAAGTAAGTTACTAGAATAGTTTACAGTGAAGGGTTAGTTTATTGGATAACACAGTTGCAGTAGATTTAGCAGGGTGGTTTACCAAGGTGTGGGGAGGGAAATCTATTAACAGTTTAATTGAAATGTTTTCATAAACTAGAAAAGCTAAAATTTCTGGGGAAATTGTGTGAAGTGTTCTTGCCTCCACCAGTAGTCTACAACTGGAGTGGGCGGAGTAATTGCATGGAGTGGCTTGAGTAACTGTTGTGTGGTTGGAGTGGCTGGAGTAACTGTGGAAAGGTTGGACTGGGCAGAGTAACTTTATGGAGTGGGCAGAGTAACTGTGAGGAGTGTTTGGAGTGAGTAAATAACTATTTGGAGTGGCTCGAATTATATTTATTAAATGTGATAGTGCTCACTTTTGAGTTATCAAAACTGTAGGAATGACAGCAGTTTAGAGAATGTGTTCCGTCTAGCTGCCTCTGTGTTCTGGATCACTCTGCTGGCTGTTTACACATCTGGGTTCCTATGGCAACTCACTCTACCACAAGGGCAGAGAAGAGCGGTTAAAAACAAACTGCTCCAAATTGCTCACTTCACTGGCGGTTGCCATCTTCAAACGGTCGTAGTTTTAAAAACTATAAATCCTACAGTGAAGAGCTTTATATTGTGAGAATCACAAAACCCAGACCTAGATGTTGATGCATAGTATGTCTCAACAATATAAAAAATGAAGGCACAGTCGCAGTTTATTGCCCTTCAAATTTGAGGTGGCTAGAGTGGAGTTTCAATGAATGTCAATGGACGGCATGAGTGGCAAACAAATGATCATATTGTTAAAACTACAAGGACTATGACTTAGCCGTGGACATTTTTAGTGGCAGCAGGGATAGCTGAACGTTTTGATATAAGATTTGTGTAGGTGGGCTTGAAAATGAGGGAGTGGTGGAAGTTTAGAAATCATGTCCTGATTTTTCAATTCACACTTAAGCTTTTGTCAGCTCCCACTCTAGTTTTGAACATTCTGCCATTCATTTCTATGGGACCAATTTCGCCATAAAAACAACGATATTTCGTAAACCATTCGGCGAAGCGTTCCACAATGTAATAGCACACCGTTCGGGAACAATCCGCACGTTTCGGTATATTACTGTCTATGTAGTGTAAAAACTCTGGGAGGAGTTAGGTTGTTAAATTTGGCCATAATAAGAATAATAATAGGAACACTTAATAATTGAGTTTTTGTATGATCTTTTAAAGAAACTGAGGCTGGGTGAGAGACTAGCGAAGTAGGGAAGAGAGTTCTATAGGCACAGTGCACCCTTTGAGAAGTTTTGAAGGTGGGCATCAGAGGTGCGGGTACGAACAGAGAATAGATGCAGATCTTTGGCAGAGACATACTTGTGTATTAGTGAGGATAGGTAGGCGGGAGCACCACCTATTTGTAATCAAGAATCATAATTTTAAATCGAGCCCTATATCTTACCTTTTACGGGAAGCAAGAGTAAGGACTGACAGTTAGGGGAGGCATGGGAGTGCGCACAGAAAGGAAGATGAGTCTTGCTGCTTCATTTATTATAGACTGTAACGAGGAAAGTTGGGAGCACTTAAGACTACTGAGAAGCGGATTGCAGTAGTCAAGGCGAGAGATGATAGTGGCACTGAGCAGCACTATGGTCGCATCCAGCATCCAGATATGGGCAAATGCGAGATATGATTTTTGGATGCACATGGCATATTTAGCAAGTGACTGGACTTGAGGGCTGAAGGAGAGGTTGGAATAAAGAGAACACCCAGGCAGCGAGCCAGTGAGGTAGAACTTATGGTAGTGCCATTGACTTGGAGGGAAACAGACATGGGAGTAGCAACACTTGAGGAAGGAAAGACGAGAAGCTCTGTTTTGGTCAGGTTAAATTTAAGAAAATCAGTAGCCATTCAGCTGGAAATAGCAGAAAGGCAGTAAAACTGTAGCATGAGTTAAGAGGGATGGCGAAAGATCAGGAGAGAACAGACAGATTTGCATATCATCCACATGCTATTGGAAGGAAAAAAAAGGTCTGAGTTTCCCAAGGGAGGCAGTATAGATTGAGAACAGTATGGGACAAGGACAGAACCTTGGGGAACACCAAAAGAGAGACGTCGTGGGGAAGAGCCAGTAAAAGAAACATTGAAAGAGTGCTGGGAGAGATAGGAGGAGAACGAGGAAAGAGCAGTCTTGTAAACCAAAATTACAGAGGATGAAAAGATGTTGTTGATCAACAGTTTTGAAAGCAACCAGGCCCGGACTGGCCATCGGGCAAACGCCCAGAGGGCCGCGATGGCCATGGGCCATTGCCAGTAGGAGAAATCGCAGCACTAACCGTAAAAGAGAGTTCTGTCCCCTCACGGGCTAGTGGAAGGGAGATTGGACAGTGATCAACTCGCTCTGTGCACTCCGGTTAAGAAGCCTCTCTTCTTGCGAGCTCTGATATTATCATGGTTACCCGTGGCAACACTCTTAGAAAGCAGCGCTCGCAAGAGGCAGACACATGGTCTGTACCCTGCAGGGTACAGACCAAATAACCAGTCGACTGGACCACTAGGGATTAGCTTGCGGCATACCCCCTCTCACTGGACCACCAGGGATTTGCTTGCTTCCTCTACCCTCTCCCCCCTGTAAAATAATAAGGGGAAAGGGGAGTAAATGTGATTTTTTTCTACATTGTTTTTTTTTGTTTTGTTTTTTAATTATTCATTATTTACACCACTATCCTACCCATTATGTACACACCCCCTTACATACTTACACACTTTATATCCATATATACACACTACAGCCCCTGCACTAACACACAAATCCACTGCATACACTCTATACCCTTATATACACACTGCATCCCCTGCATTAATACACTACACACACTCCATACTCCTATATACAAACTGCAGCCCCTGCCATAACACACTATATACACTTTGTACCCCTATAAATGCACACTACAGCCCCTGCGCTAACGCACACACTACATACACTCTATACCCTTATATACACACTACAGCCCCTGCACCAACACACTACACACTCTATATCCTTTATAAACATACTACAGCCCCTGCACTAGCACACACTCTATACCCATATATGCACACTACACCAATCGCACTCACACAAACACACTACACAGGCTATACCCTTTTATATACACACTGCAACCCCAACACTCACACTAAACATTTGCCACACATAGTATGCCACAAACAGACCCCTTTACACACACAAAACAACACAAATAGTCTGCTCTATACACATGCAACCTCACAAGCAATCTTCAAACACATACAACACGAGAGGGAGCATCTGCACACATGCACAACACACTTTAACAGCCCTGTTCCAATTTTTTTCTCTGGTGTCTCACTATTGAGGACACCAGAGACAAGTCAAAAAACAAAGAAGGTGCATGATTACATTGCACAACGCCCCCACAAAAACAGGACATTTACTTCACCCAAGAGCACGGGATGCTCTGGAAGGGCATCACACTAACTGGATGGAGGGGAGTGGGGGGTGGTCAATGGTGATGACATGACACGTCCCCTTTTGGCATCCTAGTTGGCTGCTCTGTCTTTAAGTGCCCAGGACAAATTTTTGTCCACGTCAGGCCCTGAAAGCAACAAAAAGGCCAAGAAGAATTAGTAGAGAGTAGATACCACTGAATTTAGCAGCAATTAAAGCATTGCATACTTCCGTCATGGCAGTTTCAACAGAATGACGAGCGCATAATCCAGACTGACGTGAGTTTGTTTGTTAAAAAAAACGATAACCTCACAACGTCAGTTTGCCATTTCATTGTCATGGCTTATAAACATTAAAACATCCAGTTGTTATGTATTAAAGGATAAGGTAAGCACAAAACCTACCGCTTATTCTAGTGGTTATGGAGCAAGGAGCATTTTGGTGTATTTATTCTGGTTTCTGTCAAACCATTATTTAAAGAGAAGAAGAAAGACCACACACAATAAAAATGTGTACTCTTAGCACTCTCTGCTAGTGCCATGTAAATATGGAAATTAAAATATCTGTACAAATTCATTCAAATTTTTATGGCTCTGATAGACAGTAGCAGCTTAGTCCAACATTCACAGATTATTGTTGTTCAGACTTGGATGGATAATGTGGAGGTAAAACCTTTGCTTTGTTTTGTTGGGCAGCATGACAAAATCCAGAGAGACTGCTCTCAAAGACTCAATATACCATAACCTCCAGTATTACCTGTATTGTTATGGTGTTTAGAGTGTATACACCCAACCATGTTTTGCACACGTTTATAATGTTCATTCTCCGTGACAATTACAAATGTATGTGAATTAAATGTACAAATGAATGCATGTTAACAGATTGTTAAGTACTTTTTTAAGTTAAAGTATATGAGCACCACTGGTTAGATTTCCATATCTTGGTGAAAAAGA